GGACTCGATGGATTTTGATCTTTGTGATGGGCCAACAGGTCTCGAACTGTTAGTTTGCAGAAAACCTTGGATTGGAACAGGAGTTGTCAGATATTCCCAGATTTTACTTTCAATTTCATCTTGAGGTTTACACCTAATTTCTTTCCATGCATTAGTACATTCTGTACACAGACTTATTTTTGGATACGCAGGGTTTCTTGCATTCACCATTTGATAATATCCAAAAGCGTTACAGAATCTTTGGTGTTGATTTGTAGGAGTTTTATAAATGTAAAACTTATTATATTTTGGTGTAGTTAGGAAGGTCTGCATGTTAAAGAAGTTTCGGATAAAGAAATCAAAGTGGCGACGCGATCAGATCATTATTACGCGATATTAGATATTACAGATCACGTTGAAGAATCACATGTACATAGTTGCGAAAATTTTTTTTCAAATTGATCTGATTTATTGATTTATTGATAATAAATTTATTTACTGTATTCGTAAAATCGTAAAATTCCTTTCTTAATTTATTTTCTTCATAATATGGTGTGTGCAAACATAACATTGGCAAGAGAGTGTTTCAAAATTTATGTTAAATAGAAAAAAAAACACCGAAAATTTTAGGTGGTGTGTCAAAAAAGAAATTTCATTTTTTTCTTTTTTTTTATTGAAAATTAGATTGATGGGAAAAAGTTGTAGTATTTTTAACGGATGACAATGTGATTTTATTGTGTGACAGGTTATACTAATCTATATATGATATTTGTTTATAAACAGATTTCAGCCAAAAGAATATTATCAATTACGTTCACGTGATATCATAATCTCACTAGGGGGGGGAGGGGGTTCGACTATATAGTAATTCATAATTACGTAATATATGTAAGCTCCCTTACTTCTTTGATGATTTCTCATATCATCTATTTCTTATTAATTTCACAAATTTTTCTTTCATTTTCTCATATACTTTTCTTTTATTTCTCATTTAGATTTTGTATGAAGACAACAATCTTTTTCTTTCTCGTGAGCATGCACCAAAAATGTGACACGCCGCCCATAGGATATTAAAATAAAATATCGTATGTTGCCACCGATATGCTGAGTTCGTATAATATCTATGCTTGGTTTAAAATAAAATAAAAAAATTAGTTACAAAACATTAATAAACCATTAATTAAAAATAATTAATGTGGCACTTTTTACTCATAAGAAAAAGGCTAAAAGAATGTGTTAGTTTATTATTAAGGACGAACTAAAATTTTTATTTTCCAAAAATTGAACTACTGAATTTCTATCGAAATCCACTTGTATTTATACATTTTAAGAAAAAATATTTCTAATACTTCTATTTTTTCTAATAAAATTTGAAGATCTATTATCATATGACTATCTCGTTACACTAAACTAAACTATAAATATAATTTTATTGGCTAATTATTTACCCATCGGTTAATTATTTATCCATCAGCTAATTATTTATCCTTATTTTATTTCATTATATTTTCGGTTATTACAATGTAATAAACTCTTATGCTAAAAGTTTGTGTTCAAAAAGAAGGGCATGCAGAATGTGTATTAAAGATCTTAACATTTAGAATGGTATTGGGACAATGCATATACAGACTTTTTTTCACTTGCCTGACATCCTAATCACTTAATAGTTAATACTAAGACCCGGCAACATTATATAAATATTCTGCTCAAAATCAGTGGTATCAGAAAGCTTATCCCTCTAGAGTAAATACATATATCAATAAATATTATTCTGCTTAACATTGTAAGAAAAAAAATTTGAAATATTTTGGGAATCAATTTCTTATGTGTAAAATTAATTTGTCACACAAGCGATAGTTATACTCATACAGATGATTTGCAGTGTATTACTATTATCATATATACTTTAATGAGGATCAAAAACATGCTAATTTATGTTGCATATAGACAGAATAGGATGCTGTTCTCCTACATGCATTTGTGGTGAAGCAAAGTAAAAAATAAATCGATTTATTGTATTATTATAATAATTATATTAAATACTGAATATATGATATACTGTATTATTTTTATAAATAATTTATGGCTCAGAAAACTTGTTGCATATATTCAACATTATTGTTAATATCTAAGAAATCTATAATAGTTAAATCTCTATTGATAGTACTAATATAGCAAGATTTAAAATAGTCAATTTCTAGCGAATCACATGGATATTGTTTACTTGCTTTTTTACACATATATTATGCATATTCTAAACTTTTAACTACAGCAATATTATTATTTACTTTGCTAATACAGTGATATTCAGAATTTGCTAAACTGCCTAAACATTTTAAAATGTCCATAAGTAACGATTCTATAGCCTTGCTAATGCAATTTTATAAAAGTAACTGTATATACTACAGTATTTAGATGATTATATAACTGGTATTTCTTTGTTTCTGCCCAATTACTAGAATAATAATAATTATATTTCTTGTGACCCATTTGGCTAGATATTCTTTAATATATTTTTGAGCAATATTTTCATTATATGCTTTTTTAATGCAATCGGCATATTCATCGGTATGCAAATCATATTTTTTTGAGTCTGAGGATTTATTTTCCTTTTACAAGTTGAAAGTATACCTAAGTATTTCTTCCTATCAAAAGAACTATCATTTCTTATCATATTCCAAACTTGTTTCGCCCATGTTTCAGATCTCAACTTGAAAGTTCTCCAAGCCCATCAGATAACTTTTGCACTATCAATTAAATGATATGCAACACTTTTCTTAATTTCTTTTGAAGTACGAGATAACGAGAATAATAAATTCAGAGCTTTTTCTGTATTTAAAATAAATATTACTATAAATTTCATCAATCTCATCATTACTAAGCATTTTTTTACTTTTTCATTTCCATAATACAGATCTATAATATGCAACACGCCTTTCCTCTATTTTAGTAATGCATCTGTTCAGATGCTTATCTGTGCATTTCTCAGTATTATCACAGATAAATACTAAGGAATTACATTCAGTACAATAAATATAAAATGTACGCCTTCCAGGTCTGAATTTCCCATCTTCATATAATTTTTTAGTCATATGAATATATTTATTCTTTGAGAAAAATGTTGGGTTATATTTGATAAGTTTCCTGAATGGAGCATGAATACGATTGGCATTTCATCACTATATCTGTAATGCAGACTGACTAGCACTTTCACTACTACAGGATTTAAACCAGAAAAGTAATTAGTTTTAACCATTTTGCAAGTATAGTGAAATTATAGCAAATTATAGCTGATTTTTTAATTTATAAGACTTGTAGTGATTTATAGCAAGTATATCATAATAAAATACCAAATTCATTTTTATTCAATTGTTCGAGTGAAAACAGATTCATAATTTTTTGATTCAGCTAAATTATAAAAATTTGTACCATATGAGATTTCCACTAAGTTCCTTGATAGTTCTAGAAAAGTTCCAGAAGCTGGCGAGTTTATATGCATAGCGCCTTATTTGAAGAACGCCTCTGGCCTAGCTAAATCACGAGATAATTGTCCAACCAGGTTTTGGATTTTTTCTTTAGCCAGATAAACATAACGGGAATTCAGAAAATATATTAATAAACCTGATTATTTTATAGATGCTACAGACAAAAAATATACTGTAATACAAATTATAATACAGTAAAACAGTAATCACTAGCCCGATATGGGCGAATACAAATACTTTATTAGCGCTTTACAATACTGTATATAAAAAAAGTGCTGAACTGTGAGATCGTGACCGCCGTCACCATCATGGAATTTCGCCATTACATGATCATGATATCTTCTGGCTAATTTTTAACTACCGTATACTTCCGATATTAAGCACCCCCGAAAATAAGCACCCCTGGCCAGAATTATGAAAATTTTGGCCTACGTTATGCTGTTTCTGGCCAGAATTACGGTCAAAAATGGGTGCTTAATTTCGGAAGTATACGGTATTATTTCTCCTAACCTCGGACACAACGTATTTAATATTATCCTCACTTAAATTTGAAATAGAATTTGCTGTAAACGATTTAACTCGTTTTGTATATGTCATCCGTTGAATTTTATCATTACTAAGACGGAAAAAGAGATCTCAGCCGATGTGCGGGAAAAGGATTTATATGCTTTATTTTTACTACACGTGAAAATGAGAATTTAACTCGACTTAGTTAAGCAAGAAAAAAATAGGATTATTTTTAAACTAGAGCGTTTACTATTGCTATTGCTATTAAACGTCTAATCTCGAAATAACAATGATGATAATAATTAGCGCCAGAAAGGATAATTTATGATTCCATTGACCTAAAGCCGGAATTGCATATTATTCGTTATCTTGTTCCATTGTATATGCAAAAAAAAGAAAAAAGGTCTATTTGATCTTCATAGGATCGAGATCTATAAAGTATACCAAAAATCTTCTTTTTTATCAAAGTTGCACTGCATATTTATATGTAGACTTATCATTTCTATTGTTATTCCACCAACATACGGTCATATCGACTCTCCTAAAGTCTGTGTCATGGTAAAAGTGTGCAACGGAAAGTTCCTGTTGTAATAAGCCATCAGATGGCCAATGAGACTTTTCATTATAGTCATCTTCGCACGTAAAGTGCACAATCCAAGATTCATTTGCAGAGAGTAATCTCGCATAATTTAGAACCCGATTATAGTGCTCACTAAGCTCGCCTACTGTCGCCGTTGCCAAAAGTTCGAGAACGATTACTTGAGCACGGGGCGAAGTTATGACTATGTCACTATAACTATGTTTATTCCTGCCATTATTATCGTTACGGTTTATCAAGTGCCATTGGCCAGTAATTTGAAATCCAAATCCACTTAACCAATTCCACAAGACTCGGTAAAGCTCTGAATCGTAGACACTTTCTCTGGGGACAGACTGATTACGTCACTATTCACCCTCACTTTAGCAATCTCGAATGAACGCTCACATGCATACTTAATGATGCTCTTGTCAAATGATTGGATGGCAGACTTAAGACATTAAAATGTCTAGATTACGAGAATTACCCTTATAAGGGATATCCTTTTGTGGACAAAAAGGAAACACCTTAAGGATTACGCGCTGAAGAACTATGTTGCGCACCATAGGAGAGGAAAGCCTAAATGCTCTTTCAGCTCTTTCGGTGACAGGTATTAGAACCCCTTCGGCAGCAAGGAAATCTGCACTATCGGTATCGACAATTTTTACTTCATGCTCAACATCTTCCAACAGAAAATAATCACGGAAAAATCTCACTGCAGTCATAGCACTGGAGTCCAAGAGAGAATTAATTATTCTTTTAAACGTTTGGTACTGAGCAATCTCATCCATTAATGAAATGAGTTTGAAACGCACCCAAACCCCATGGCTTAGGATTCGGTCACCTTTTATTTTACTGATCAAGTTGTCTTCGATTGCACGCCCGCATAGACAAACAAGACCAGCATGCCTATAATATATGTAATAAATAGTCTCGGTATAAGTTCTTAAACTTATATTTTAGTCTGGCCACTTTCACATACCCATTTGTCTGTGTATATATATCCTCGATTATTTCATCTTCGATTTTCATCTTATTTTCATCTTCATATTCCGCAAACAACGTTCGCACTTTATCCAAAGAAAAATTTGGATTACGAACCAGATCCTTGACATTGAAGGGTGAATCTAAGCTTTGTCTAGAGCTGGAAACATTGGAGTCGAGGTGCATGATGCTGAAGGTACCAACTATTACGATAGCGTGGATAACAAAGAGATGCATAGCATTCTTGATTAAGCGAAGGATTCTCAAGAACTCGGAGCGAATTTCCTCATTATATTTGTACAGTAAATCGAACTCGTCAATGAAGAGAACAATATGATCATCCTTGTTACCCGGCCACTTTTTTTTACCGAAGTATTGTTGGAAATCATAGGCGCCTTTTATATTTTCACAGGAATCAAATGGTGGTTTTCACTACCAATACTGAGGGCTACGCCGAATGATTTCCAGAAGATATCACTATCATCTCCATTGATTTGCTTGATAGACGAACTGAATCGAAAAACAATGAAAAATGGTAAGTTAGAATGTGACAGAGCGGTCGTTCAGCAAACGAGAACTAACTCACTAGTTGCATATGTAATTTTGTGTAGACAAATAGTTTATTATTTTTAGTATCCGCGTAGTCTTTCCAGAAGCCCGAGCTCCATATAATCCTGTGAGAGAACCATCGAAAATTTTTTTAAGTAGCGGGATGATTTGTTCGTCATCCATTAGGTCCATAAAATATTTAGAATACCAATCGGTTTCTCGCAGGGCACCGTTGACTGTCCATTGCCTTCTCGAAGTTTTTACAACTGATCAAATAAATGGTCAAACATTTGGATAATAGGTTAAATGATATAAAAGCCGTTGTGTTCTTACGTTCTTCTATGGCTTTTCTTTTTCTTCCAAGCTCTAATGAACAAGAAATGAAATAACAGCGGAAAAAACAGAGAATATCAAGAAAACAAACAAACATTGAGTCAGATCACGTTCATAACGTTGACAAAATTTATTACGAATCACTTACCAGCACCGGGTTGATCTACAATAACGCGAATGTGTTTTTTGGGCGGGTTTGACGATAAGAAGAAGAAAAGAAAAGCACAAGATTAAGTAAGTATTCGGCGAATGTTGACAAGAGAAGACGAAAAAAAAATTGTTATGACTCACCAATAACGGGAACACCAACAACAACTCGAATATTATTTCCTATAACGTTTTGAAATGTATTTCCAACCGTATCGGCTGGATCTTCTAATTTTTCGTTTAAGTAGGGTTCAATAGCAGTTTCTTTATTCCTAAGTATATTCGAAGCAACATTGACCCTCCATAGAACTAGTTCGTCGGGTGCAAAATCATTAAAACGTGGCTTCCTCTCCTTGATAACTTTTCTAAGGTCGTCAAGATCGTTACCCGATCCGATAGTAATTTTGAAAATAGAACGATTTTCACGAACGATACACCAAAGATTAATAAGCGTTCCAGTTGGTGCAATATTAGACATATTGTATCACGAAGAATGGATAAATGGGGAAGAAATTTCTTTTTCGTAAATCTGGAGAGTTTGATATAAATAAGGGGTAAGGTCGCACAGATTGATAAATTGAAGATAATATTTCAAAGTCACATGATTCCGATCGTTACGTTTTTTTTGCAAAGAAACCTGAAACTTTATTGATTATTTTATAGATATAGATATATAACTTATCAGAAAAATGCTAGAGAAGCAAATGAAATGTATGATGCTATCAAAGAGGGAGGAAGTACGCCATTTAATGCGAGTCCCAGCATCAAGTTATTTCTTTGCTCTCACGTTTACAAAAAATATCTATAACTAATTTGTTTCTACTTCTATTGCTAATTACTTGATTTCCCCCGCACTCTTTTTCTATACTAGATTTTCGAAATAAATTATCCCACCCATATTTACAGAATTTTTGTCTATCTCTCACAAACACACAAAACATTATTTCTCGAAAGAGAACTTCTCTGAGATTAATAAATTTCGAACCTATAGTATAATTACGGAAGTATTAGCAACTAAGTTTAAAAAATAATACAATAACGATTTACACTTACCATCACGACTCATTTTCACATAATTCCATTCCGCCTTATACACAAGATATTTATTGCTTAATTTTTTCTGCGATACGACGATACTGCGCAAAGTTTTAAGAATTCGGCACGTGAAGATGCTTATATAAGATAAAATTTTTGATGCTGTGCCGTTGCATGTGACGAGATTCATGTGAGTAATTTCACTGCGTCTGATGATGCCATGATGGTCAGAGATTTTCTTGGCGAAGATCAAAATGCAGATTATGATTCTCGATCTTGGTTCAATTAGGAATGATCAGGGTGAGTTTAAACTTTTTTTGGACTTTTCATTTTTTTTATTTTCTTATTTTAATTTTTCGTTCTATTATTTGTTTTACTTTATTTTAGACTAATGGTTCGAATTTGATGGTAATAAATTTCTGCTGACATTGTTTAAAATAGGAAATTTAAATTCGAAATGGTGGATCACAATCAGTGAGTTTAAACTTTTGATTTTTTTTTTTACTTCTATCCACTTATTTCATTCTTATTTTAATTTTAATTTTCATCTTTTTTGCATTTTTATGTTTTATTTTAGGCTTTGAAACGATACTTCTTGGTCTTTAAAACTTTTTTTAGGTCCTTTTTTTCGTCTACATTCATTGAAATTCTGTTATAAATCTTTAGATTAGGGCCATAGTGTAGTTTAAAAGAGGAATAATCTTCTTTTGATAATGTGATCTTGATCTTTTGTGAAAAAAGAAAAGACTTCCACGCGTAAAATCCATACCTAAAAGACCCGAAATAAAAGTCTTAAAGCGTCCATAGAAAATAGCAAACGAAATTAATTAGAAAAAAGCAATTATCTGAAAATTATATACTCTTTTTACTGTGATTTAATTTCATGATAGTGTATTATTTTTGCATATAATTTTTACACTTTTTTTCACATGACCTTTCCATTAAAAAATACAAAAATAATCTCCTTACTACTGCGGCTTCATATACTCAAGGTTACACACACCATGATCATGCTTAACTATATTAAAATGCAAAAATACCCCATGTTTAAAGTGAGAGATGGGCCGATAATCAATATGATTCTATAAAAAAAAAATTATCCCCCGAAAACAACAAAATCCGAAACTATACAAATCTATAATTTTAGTTGAAGTTTCGCGTTTATATCTTTCAAAAAATAGGATCAGCCATTTGGAATACCTCAAAATTATATAAAAGTTTATTAAATACTTGAATATAATACACAACAAAAGAAGAAAACGCTATTTTTAAATGTTTTTAAGCATCAAGTAATAAAAACATATAAAAATAAGAAAGAAATTAACCAGTGGCTCAATTTTAATGAAAAAACTTCGCCTATATAGAGCTAATACGAACAAACTTAACTTCTGGGATCAGCTACTTTCCTGTGTGTGTTACTTTCCTGTGTGTGTGTGTCGAAAAAATAAAAAAAAAGTGAAATTCTAATATGAAATTTCGTACCTTAAGTTGGCCCCCGTATATTTATCTATCCCCTAGATTTATAGCAAAAAAATGAAATAAATAACCAAGTGGTATATCATTTCGAGACTAACAAAAACAAACAACTTTTATTAATTGATTATTCAGTTAGAATTTTTGTTATTTTTGAATTTTATTAATATAAATTAATAAATTTTTAGTTTATTAAAGAATAAAGTATAATTTGTTGTGTTTTATGACTTTAACCTTGTTTAATTAGTCAAATATCTTAAATAAATGAAAAAAATCATGATTCATTATATAGAGTCTAATCCTATTGTGCAGCAATTTTGACGATCTCTGGCGCACAAAGTTTTCAAGCACAAAATGATCTACATTTTTATGTGCTAAAAATTTTAAACTTTACTACAATCATTTGCTAATAAAATTAAATACAGTATTACATATTTGAACAAGTTAACTAAATGTGCTTAGATTATACTGATACTATCTCCATTGTGAATTGCAAACTTCCAGAATTTCAGATTTTTGTGAGACTTCGATTTCGATTTCTTTGTCTTATCGCTTGAATAACTCCGATCCATAGCATACATCGAAATTAATGGTACATTATCACGTTTCACAAAACCCAACCCGCTTAAACAAAATCACTTATTTTTTATTTATACCACAAACTTGAGCTAGTAAATGTTTAATGACCGCACTCAAACTCATTCGATTTGAAGCATACAGAAACTATCACTAGATCGGAAGAGTAAATCCTCCGAAGAAGCATCTCAGAAATAACATGCCTAAATCGTAGAAGTCTGATTAATGCCTGATACATAGACTAGTCCATAAAAATGGTTCTTTAAATAGTCCGAACAATAAGTCTGGACATAAGTGATAGTGATCAACAAATAAAATGTCATCTAATTTATAGGAAAATGATAAATTATGGGATAAAGGAAAATCCCTTAACCATAATTTAACTATATTTGGAAAATGTTCATCAATTCCATATGGGCAACATTACTATAATTCGGAGTTACCAATACTTGTATGTCCTTTGTGACCCAAATCCTCCTAATTTCAGGTAAGTGTCTAATATTATTTTTTCCCTTAGACGATTTTCACCTGCTTCTGAATTTTCCTTTCACATGAAAATGTGTGTTCATGAGTTTGTAAGATTGGATTCTGAAATCGTAGTTCACTTGTTATTTATACAATCTATTTAACTGTTAAAGAAGAATCATCGAAAAAATTAACTAGGCAATTTGACACTTAGCATTAATAAAAATATGATAAATAATAAGACAAAAATTAGAAATATATTATTAATAGGCAATGCTGGTAAAGGAAAATCTACTTTAGCAAATGTCTTAACTGGAACTAACGAATTTGAGGAAAGCACGGATCCAATTAATGGAACTAGCAAAACAAAAGCTAAGGAATTTGAACATGAAAAAATAAAATATCGGATTATTGATACTGTAGGAATCGGAATTTCTATCCAATCAACAGAAGAAATATTAAATAAATTAAAAGGCATAACTGATATTCTTAGTGAGGGTATAAATCGAATATTATTCCTGACTAATGGCCGTTTTACCAAAGAGGAGGTTGAAGCTTTTAATTTACTAAGAAACGTTATTTTTGATGATCGTGTAACTGATTACACAACTATTGTCTTCACTAATTTTGCTAAATTTAAAGATGAAAAGGCATGTGAAAAGAATCGTCAAGGATTTCAACAGGAAATTGGAAAAATTTCAATGCCGCTTGCTTCAACTGCGATTATTTATGTTGACAACCCACCAATAATAGGTTTTATGGAGCCAGTGGCAAGAATTTCACGAGAAGCATCTCGCGAAGTATTATTAAACCACTTGAGAACCTGTCAGGAAGTTTACCAACCTGAGCCGCTTAAAAAATTTCGTAAAATGCTTGATGAGTTCAATTCAATTATTAAAGATACTATTGAAGCAGTTGAGAATGTTGATCTTTATTATAAAACCAATATCACCTATTTAGGAGAATTCATCACTACACGAAGAGTAATAATCGAAAATATCGAAGAGCGCTTAGAAGAAGTAAGAAAATATATGGGAAATCGATTTAAAAGTAGCGTTGTAAGTCATTCTACTTTGTTAATTGGTAAAGGTTTATCAATCTCGGGAATATGGTTCCCACCTCTCATGGTGCCAGGTTTAGCACTATCGACTATCGGTTTTGTGAGTGCGGCTACTACTGATATTTCTGCAATTTTAAAGGAAAATGAAGCATACAAATCATTCGAGGAAAGCCTTGCGAAAGACAAAGAAAAATGCGAAAATTTGGAAATCTTACAAGAAGAGTTGAGAAACTTAATTAATAAATTCAAAGACATCCGTCCTCGCTTCGTGATTTCAGAATATAGAAAACAGAATATTGACAGAAATAAAATTGAAGTGATTGAGAATGTGATGAACCAAATTCTGGGAGAAGAAATTGAACCTGATGTGGACTTAAATAATAACGAAAAAACTAAATATTCTACTAGTCAAGAAACAGTAAGAGCTGTTGTAGAAGGTATATGTAAACTTGCACCTTCTCCTTTATCATTTTATTGTATGTATCGGGATCATAAGGAAACTAAAAACCGGGATTCTTTGAGTGATATGGAAACGACAATTAAAGATTTTAGAGAAGGGTTAAAAGTTTTAGAAGAAAAACAACAACAACTTAATGAGTTATATGAAACTATTAAGCGGTGTAAAGAGAAAATAGCAAAATTAACATAAATAGTGTCAGTTAAATGCGATTAATTTTGCTGATATGAAAAGAAATTCTCAATCATATAAATAATAATAGCATTTTTATTTCTGACAGATTGTAACGCTTTATTATTTTACGAAAATTAATTGACAATATTATTCTTTGGCCAACTGACTAATAAATTTTCGTTACTATTGAGCAATTCTGATTATATATTTGCATAATACGTTCACAAGTGATGAACATACAATATAACTAAATGTTGTTTGCGAATTATGCAGTTGAAAAAAATTCTCCCATTGAGACATCAATTGATTAAGGTGTTACTGAAACGTAATAATAAACAAATTAACGAGCCTGAATCAAACGTCCAAATATTTAATTGTAGGAATTGGACATTGTCAGATCTAACAGTGACATGAGGTATCGCACACTAAGAGAACTCTAAAACATGATATGAAAATTTTTGATTTTTGATTCTATTTGGTATAGTGATTGATCTCTATGAAATGCAAAAGTTGGCTATCTGTGTATATACAAAGTTTCAGCCTTCTATATCATATGAATTTTATTACTAATGTCGACAAGAAATGTCAAACTCTCTCCTTTCACGGCCTATTTAAGACTTATTTAGTGACGAAGAAATATTTGGTGACTCTCTTTACATGTAAGATCAGCCACGATAAATTCCGGTGGTTTTATTATCTCCTTTATCAAAAATGTTCGAAGATATTAATATCATGATAAGTGAATAACTAATTCCGTTGGTGTTACCAAGTTGAGCTAAGAATCAAGAATTCAATGCATCACCAATAAAATTTTGCACTCACGTGATCATTGTGAAATATTCGTCGTTGGCCGTCACGCTCCGTTTTTAATAATTCTGGACGAATTTTTTCGGTAGTGAATCTTATTTGTCACATACTTTGCATGTGAGTACTGAAATGCGCATCCAAAATCCAATTGGACATTTGTTAAAATTTTTTTACCATAAATTGATTGCGTAACGAGATAATCATATTTAATTAATTTTCTTTTTCTAATTTCTTCACGCTCTCTTTATTCACGACACCACTTCTAAAAACATCCTCTTCTCGAGTATATTACTGTTTTGGACGAAAAATTATTTATTTATAATTAATTTATTACGCCACTATCGTAAAGCTAAATTAGTAATACAAATGATAGATAATTTCTTAAATAAATTCTGAGGAAAAAAGTATACCGAAGATGAAAGAGTTGGAATAAATATATGAAGAAAAGACCAAATTGAAAGAGTTTTCCCTTCTTTGTCACATGGTATGTTTTTTTCAAAATATTAGTTTTACAATTTAGATGAATAAATAAATTTACATTTTTATAATTTTGATTTAATCCCGAAAGGAAAATCCGATGATTTTGTAACAAAAACATCAAATCCTAAAAAAAAAAAATTACATGCGATCAACTTCTAAAAAAGAAAGTGCACAATGGGAAACTTTAGTGTTTAATTCTACTATAGATTAGTGGGTGTTATTTAGATTAGGTAAAAAAGATTAATTTTGAATCCTTGATTTGAAATCAAACTAGCCGCAAAGTACTAGTAGATCGTATTTGATTACGCATCAGAAATATTAATAATACTTTAATTAATGCCACGCAAAAAGATGCATTTGGGTTACAGTAAAGAATTTTTAAAAGGCAAGAGACTATGGAATCAGTTTTAATTACTTCTGCTGGACAAGTTTTAGTACGAGGAAGAGTGAGAATTGATTCTGCGTCCCTAATTTAAGCTGCAAGGTAAATTAATGAATTTTGGATTTATTTAAATATTTTACGTAATTTAATAATTTTGATTCGATCATCTGCGCTAAATTACACGATTAACAAAATTAGTTATGGTATGCTTCTTCTTCCATACGTTAATTACTGCTGTTATTTCGGGTTATCACGAATAAGAGCTACTTTAAAGGTATTTACAAATAGTTTAAAATAATTTAAAAGTTTCAGTTAACCAAAACTAACTCTTCTTTCACGATCTTAGATGTAAATTTATGATAGTACAAAAGTAACAAATCTACCATTATGATAAAGAAATTGATACAAAAAAAATAGCAAAGTTTCTCTACTTGATGTCTGTTGAATTATTGATAATGAAGTTTGGTGAAGAGAAATTAGTCAATTAGAAAAACTTTTTTTTTTCTTTTTTTGGGGGCAGTGAACAAGTTACATGTAGAAAATTTTCATCTCTATATTGTGCTTCATAGTTCATATATTTTTATAGTTTAAGTAAAAAAGATTAAAAAACTTTATTAATTATTATTATAATAAAAAAAGGGAACTGTTTGGGAAGTGAAAATATTGGCAGTACAAAATAAAGCGGAAGAAATTGCTAGCATATCTCTGTGATAGGTTAATTAATAATAGCGTTACTATTCAGCACGATTATATAATTCACAAGGGAAATTCTGTGGTGCATTCATGCTTATAAATATATATCGAATAATGGTTTATCAGAAGATAAAGGTTATCTTGCTGATGTTATATGGACTAAGTCATAACAAAATTAAATTTTAGCTTAAAAGCCTAAAATAAAAAGAATCCAAAGGTGGTGCGTAAATGAATAAATGTTAATATCAGTTAATCAATATTACTTATTTTAAAACTTCTTAACAAATTTCTCTCTTCAAATTCTACTAGTTTAATTAAACTACATTAATTAGGTAACGATGTAATAAGAATTGTTCCTTAGTGATAAATCTCTTAATAAAAAATTATTATACTGACGTTATATATATTTTTTGCTAACACTTTTACCACATAATAAAGTGTTACATTTGGTTTAATAGGAGTACAGGCAATATCTCTTCCGTAAACTGTCATGGCGGAATCATTATCTGTCGTAAGTGCTATGATCATATTGAAATTTTCAAACTCCTCCAAGGCTCGCATTACCAATAGTAGGTTGATTCTTTTATCTAATACTAGAATATGTTATATCTATTCTCACAATCATTATTTGGTAAAAAAAATTTGTTTGACTTATGAGTCATGAATTCTTGAAGACAAATAAAGTATAATACAAAAATCAAAAAAATTCTGTCACTTTTTCCTGATCAGATTCAATTAGCCCATATTTTGCTTCATGGAGACGCTCCATCTCATCACGAAATTCTTTAAATCTTCGGACACACTCGGATTCAATATAAAATCTTTAACAGTATGTTCGATTTTCTTCAAGCTTTTTGATAATATCTTAATCATAAGATCAATTTTCGATAAATAATGTGATCATTCGATTGTCAACCGGCCACCAATGGTAATGGCTCTTTGTTATGTTACTCAGCATCCTTTGTAGGTTCCGTCAGCCATCTCTGCTAAGCCCTTATTCCAGCACCCTAGAAGGTAATGACCTATTCCTCTGCTGAAAAGTTTTCTACCTGTAGCAGGAGCTTCTGCTTACCTTGCTGCAAATGCTTATAATAATGAATTAGATAGACCATTAAAATTTACAGTATTTAATATTATAACCTCACTATATTTGCTCTTCTTACATGTTGAGTTGCTATAATGCCTTTTATAGATTCAAAAAAATTCGCCTCGTTATTTAACAACTGGGAACATCTTCGCAATAAAGGAGAATTTCAAACTAGAGAATCAATTCCTAAATACTAGATATATATATATATAGTAGCTTTGAATAAATTAACTATCATAGCATCATTGACTTACCGACACATTGATGTTCAAATCCATAATATCTCCTACAGAAGAATTGCCAAATAATCCCAAACAATTCCCAGACTTTAGTTTAACCCAACATCGTTATTTTCTAATTATCACTAAAAAGAATATGTACAATTTTTAATTAATCTTTTAACGAGAACACTTTTACCTTCCGAAGTACAGTATATCATAAAAAATAAGTAAAAATTAAACACTTACAAAGAATAAAGAACGCCACTCAATTGCTTTCATTTTTATATAATCTATATTTAAAATCAAAAATAAAATAAAAGATTATATTAAAGAAATATCTTTATAAAGACAATTTAATAACTCTACTACTGCAGCAAATTCAGCTTCATCCAGATCATCTATAAGATTATAACGCTATGTATTCAAATATTGAACGAATTCTACGTTTGTTCCCACGCTTTTATTCAGATTATTTACCAGCAAGAAGCGCTTCTTCATATTTTGTGCTTAAATATCAAAATTGGCGTCCATAGATTGGAATTATTGATTGATGATTTCCTATAATCAATTTTTATGTTAAAAAACAACCAATCGCAATTTACCATTTCTTTCATAATTTATAGGATAATTTAATTTACTTCTTTGTTCTTCAAGACCAGCTTTGTGTTACTCCTGATCCTGATTATATCATCTATTACGTTATTAACTGTGTCTTGTTGACTTTCTGGATATTAACAAACTAACACAAGTAACATCTGCATCAAATCAATTTTTACACTAGGAGCGAATAAAATAATAATTAATAAAGAAGAAAAATAAAAATAACTGAATTAATAGAAGGCTGATTTTCTAGGGTTATATTTACCTTGAAATCTACATTGCTAAATACACCCGATGGTAATCAGATCTCAATTTCAGGTAAGATATTAAATGATGACTTTTATTAGATGATCTAAACGTTCCTGATAAAAATTATAAAAAGTTATTACAATATTGTGAATACTTTATCGTCTATATTTGATGGTTTATAATTCAAACAATTAAAATTTAATAATTCACGAGTTTAAAGACAAAAAATAATAATAATAATAATAATAAAATTCCTTTTTATTACCATTATAATATCGTGCATAGATTTTGATCCAATCTCGAAAAAGAATCATCTTTTAAGGTATCTTTAAATTATTATCATATTTGACAGTATTGAAAGGATCTCAGAAAACGAATATTTTAAAATATAAATTTGATCTAGTTTATAGATTGTTTTATCTATTAATTATCTTTGCAAGCTACCGAACTTCATTCGAATCATCTATAGAAATATATCAAATGGAATGTAAAATTTTGAATTATGATATTATGTAAAAAAAAGGTTTATCATGACTCGCATCCAAATAAATTGATCTGAACTATGAAGGCTAAATCGTGAACCCAAAATCACAGCTTATAATTATTAAAAAGTATTAAAAAAAAGTAAGTATAAGAAATCAATGTAATCGAAAAATTACTTGATAATTAGATTAATTAATTTATTGTAACATATCAAGTCCAATATTTTTAACATTTCTTTGAAATGGAACATTCTGACTTAATTCATTTAATACAATATTTTAAGATATAATTAACAGTTAAAATTTAAATTATGAACTAAGAATAGTTGCCTTGTAAAGTCCTATGAAAATTTTAACGTTTCAAGGAATACTTGAAGAAGGGTTTGACTTCTTTTTGGTTGCTTTACCGACTACCGTCAGGTTATAATGTCTCACTTTAGTTAAAGCCATCAAAAATAGATGAAATATCAAATCAAGGTTAATCTGCAATCTGCAATTGATCGACATAAAACATTTATTGTTTTAGGTCATTGATAAATGAACATCAGAGACGGGCGCAGAATCGTTTTACGACCAAGTAATTTTCTTTTTATTCATTTCGCTTATTATAACAATATATTAGCGGTTTCCATGATAAGATTACTTTAAATACATTAAAAATTTGCGCTAATAAAATTTGATGAATCATGTTCAAATATCAACATGTTTCCAAAAAATTATGCCGTAATTACTTTTTTTTTGAAAAGGCATAGAGATGAATTTCCAATCATTTTAGAAATAAGGATTAGCAGCAGCAGATTACTTCGATATCTCCACTCATTACAATGAAGATGAGTCAATATTAAAAAATTCCCATTATTTAATATAAATATTTATTAAACAGACGACTGACAAAAAACCTGTATTTCAGGGGGTCTTTATGGTCAAAAATATTTGACTGATACAAGTTGAATTTGCCCGGTCTCAGTCCATGAAGACCGGTCTTTTGACCTGGATCGGTCATTTATGACGGTCTGATTAATCAGTCCGTGAGAACGGTCTTATCCATCTTTGAGGTTTAAATCATTTTAACCATTTTTATGCTTAAATTATGAAACAATAATTATTTATTTATTGATATACTGTAGGTTTGTATATTAATTCGCTAAAATTTAATAAATAAATAAACAAATATTGTAAATAAATAAATGCTTAACTATTGTTTTCTAAATGGGATTGAGCCAATGATATCTACAGTGATTTTGTATCTTAAAACACTATGGATACTGCTAATTTTTTACAATATAATTATTCGTAATTAAGTTTAAATATCATTTAATTTCATCTCTTCGGAAAATAATTTATTTGTAAAAAAAATTTTCCTATTAATCTGTTTACGGTTATAAAGAAAATCTTCCAACCTTATTCATAAAAATAGCAGAATATATTCTAGTTTTCCGGAACGAAGCGAAGGTTTATTTATGTACTGTTGGGCAATTTTGTGTTAACTCATGCATTTTCCTTCCATCTCTCAATTTTTTTGGGGAGATCCTATCTCTGTTTTTTGACTTTGCACTTTTTTTTGTACTATTTTACCATATAATATTGCGACAGACTTTTAACGATTTCCGTTTTCTAGTATCCTAGTTTAAAAAATTATTTTGTAATTGCTTGGTTAATAAAAAAGCTTTTAATATTATAACATAAATAATTATTTATATATACAATATATTTATGCATTATTTGTGTATTATAGGTATGATTGGATTAAAAGTTTATTTATTTGTTGATAGAGCAGGTGAAAAAGAGGGAAGTAAGGTGATTTAAATGTAGGCCCTATAAGCCTCATTTATCGGTAAAGCCACTGCCAAGCATAAATACCGTACTAGATTGTAGTATTTAAAGAATCGATAATTTACATAATATTATAAAATTCATAACAATATTATAATAAGCCTTCTTTTCAGTAGGTTAAGCCACTGCAAAGTGTAAGTATTGCGCCAGATGATTTCTTTCTGAAATCTTTCTGTAGATCGATAATTCACCAATGAAATGAGGCTTTATTGCGTAAGCCACTGTAAAATGTATTAATGATTTTATAATATTATTTATTTGTATAATTTCAAAAATTTTATGTAACCGATTTATTGTAATATTTAATAAAAAGGCTTTTGAATTCATTCATAATGTAAAAATGAGATTCTTTAGCCATGTGGCTTTAATATAAATTGTTGATGAATTCCCTATAGAAATCACGTAAAAAAATGTAAATAAAAAGCCTTATTAGGTTATATCAGTGTCAATGCCACATCCTACATCGCCACGATGATAATTAAATGCTATTAAGATCGATGCGATGTTGGAAAAAGAATTTAAATACGATGAAAATCATGCAGAAGATGTTTTGCAAATAACTTATTTCCTCTTAATTAAGTTATTATTTTAAGCACAGAAACTTTTACATTTAAACTATTTATTTTCGTGTACAATCATCGTATTATAATTAAGGAAATTAGCTTCAAATTTTATTTTTAAATTCTTGGCTAAACCATTTAACGATTATGAAAAAATTTTTTGAAGGTGATGATATTATTATATATGCTATATATGCTGGCGAAGAATTGAATATTAAAAAACTCATGTGGCTCTTATGCAATAGATCGCTAACTTACTAACAATTAATGGATATTTCACTATTATTGCTTCAGATATTTATGATGTGACGTCAAATTTTTTTTGTTTTAAACGAAAAATAAATCTCCCAATAATAGGTCGGGAAGATAGATGAAAATACATAACGGATTAATATCTCACAGGACGATTATCTAATAAAGACACTTCAAAGTACAGTTAAAACATGTCGATCCATATATATGCCTGCAATTGTTGTTTATGATGCTGTTTCAGGTTATTTCGTTATCTAAATTATTCAAAGTTCTCTTTCAGATTTATGATTATTTTCAGGAACGGTCTCACTACATCTCAATAGTCTTCGGCAAATTCCCGCAGTTAATATGGAAATTCAGCTACACACAAATGATCCACTTTATGTTCCGTATAACATGATAAATAATTTATTTCTTATTTTTTTTTTATTATTTTTTTTTTTTTTTAATTGCACTGGATAATTTCAGGATTCATATCATTATACCTTTCGACATCTAATTGTCAGATCTGCATAATTTACGTATGATGTCATTACAATCTGAAAAGGTTAGTATGGGAATATTTTATTCTTATAAATATCGAGCTTATTTTTTTTTGTCATAATTCTTAATCATCATCAAAACATAATACGCTTTAGGATTAATCCGAATAATAATAATGAGTTGAACTACTGACGTATTGAAATTAAACTGAATGGATTTACTTTTCTTTTTTAATATACTGTTTAAAAAATGACTAGTCTCATAGGAGAAAGCTCTCATGCTAAAAGTGCAGTAAAAATCTGTAAAATTTTATTTGGGTTGCATCCTTACATGGGAACACAATTCATGGTTAACATCAACAGTGTTTCCCGTGGAAATCAATCAATCGATATAAATGTAGCTTAATGGTAGAGAATTCAGGTAAAGCTCTTTTTAAAATTTCCTGTATCGTACTTCAATTTTGACAAATTTTTTTTCTTGATTTTCATAATTATCGCGTTCAGATGGTGTCATGGTGATAAAATCCGTCTGATCCAATCTTAAGACGATTATCAGTCATGTCAGGTGTTTTTATGTATGTAAATAGATTCCAATGAAAAATAATAATAATTTGTAACTCTTAAATATAAATAGTAATTAAATTTAAATTATGTAGATAATGTTTTAAAGTTTACGAAATAAAAGGATCAGAAGTCCAAAACCATTAGCTTAATGAACTTATGTATTTATATTACGTCGACAACTGTATTTTTTTTGTGATAATCATCATTATTTTTTGATTCATATTGAAAGTGAAGGATGAAAGGTTCTAAAGATCTAGTTAAAGTTATACTTCAAAAGAAACATATATTATTATTTTCAAGAATGAAAAAGAAAATCAGGCTATCAAAACACCTGCGAAGAAAGCCGATAAGCAAGGGTATTCGTACTCCTTGGCATTTAACAAGTCCGGAAGCAATGAAATTATTGATATGATTATTGGATTTATTAATCAAAAGACAAAACCAATTAATGATACAAATAATGAAAATGAAAATATGCAAATTTTAGATCCTGTGATCCAGAAACACTATGATCGTCTGACAAAACAAACAATAGAGGAAGGCACTCATAGAAATTGGATAGAATTATGAAAAATGATGCATACAAATACATATTGTCCTTGAGATTTCTGATACTGGTTGTAAAAATCGACAAATCCAATGAAATTGATGGGCATAAATGGTTTGTAATATAATAGATTCATTATTTTTCTAAATAATTGAATTTTCTAACTGTAATTCTCTTAACAGTATCTGAATCAATGCAATCAAGCGCTCTCCCATATATAAAAACAGAAATTGGAGTTAGGCTTGTACTGTATTTGTATTCACAATTCTATTTAATGACTTATTTTATTGTTCTTTTTTTATTTGAATAAATTCTTTCCAGATTTGTGCCGAATTGAATGTTCTCACAATCAGATTGACAACAATCATTGAATTGAACTTTTCTGGTTAACAAAAAATGATTCGGAAGGAAACAACATATTCTAATGGTCAAATTGATTTATGATAAGTAATTATAAATTAATTTATAATTATTATGTGCTCTATGCGTCAAATTTTCAGAATTGATAATAAGAATTTGTATATTTTACGAAATACTTGAAATGACAGGCACGTGAAGTGGACATTTACATTGACAAATGGAAAGCAAGATCCATTAGGAAAAGCGAAATTAAATGAATAGAAACGCTAGTAGAAATATAAATAATAGATTCACGAAAAGAAGAATTATTACTAGGAACAGAATTTTTGCAAGAACGAAAAGAAATATCAACTTCGAAACAAAATCCTTGCGGTTGTCACCTTATAAGTGCTGCAGTCGGTCTCCTAACGAATCAACAAAAAAAATTTTGTGAAAATAACGAATTTTGTATAAGTAATTTTACTGAAAATTATTTGATATAATGAAGTACGTGTAAGAATTTATTCAATTGTTGATGATTTTTATATTTATTAATTTATTTATGATTTATTTTCTTTTCTTTCTTAAAAACTAACTGGGAATATCCAATTGTGGCATTAAATAGTACAATACAATGAAATTCCTTGAACGCACCGAGGACAGATTTATAAATGAAATTTTTTTACAAAAATTTAATTAATGGAACAACCTGGATCCTCATGATGTAAATAAATTATGATTTATAACTTTAAATTCTTTTTTTAAAAAAAATTTTAGTAACTTTTTCTTTATCTCCTTTACAAATAGGGGAAAATGCATTTATGAATGGATTAGAAAGTATCTCTCCTCTAATAAAATGAAGAAATAAATGTTTCTTTAATATTAAACAAAGGTAGAACAAATTCAAATTATTATTATCTTGATCTTTAAATTCTTTTATGTAAAAAAAATTTTTAATTAACTTCATTTTTAAAAATTTTATTACATTAAATTATTTGCATTTATAATTATTCTTTTTCGAATGTTAAATTATAAAACACATAGAACCTACACCTACACGTAATAAATTATTAAAAGTTTATAAGAAAAAAAAGAGATTCGAATTTTATACTTATGGTTCACTTATAGATATTGGGATGGAATCTTGTAGTATGTCATCTGGATTTATCCAGGTTGCCGAAACTGCTGATTTGATTAGTATGGTTCTTTTTATGAATACGAGGAAGGTAGGAGGTAGCCTTTCCTCAATATGTGAATAAATTATAATAATATCTAAAAATTCTTTATATTTAGTTGATTTAGTTAGTAATCATCTACGAATAAAGAAAAGAGAATCATATTAAACAAAAGGTAGAATTAATCGGACCCTTGACGTAAGTAAATTATAATTACTTTGATCTTTAAATTCTTTTTTTGTAAAAAAAATTTTTTAAGTAACTTCTTTTACACTTTATAGGTGATGATAAAAAAAAGGAAAAGAAGAACTCCGAAGGAAGGGCTGGATGTTGTACACTTTTGCCACGATAGGATGTTCATGATGAGTGCCAAATTCCCTATTACTACTAGTCTGGAGAAATATTTTCAAATAGAGAAAAGGAGTATGATAGGAAAATATCTCTTCCCTAATAAATGGAAGGAATCATATTAAACAAAAGGCAGAATAAATTGGACTTCCGATGCAAGTAAATTATAATTATTTCAATCTTTAAATTCTTTTTTGTAAAAAAAATTTTGAAGTAACTTCTTTTTTATAGTGTTCTTTTAAGAATAACGAGAAAGATTACACAATCAACTGGGTGGAGGGTAGCTTTAAATAAATTATAATTAAATCTTTTTTTTTACAAAAAAATAATTTTAAAGTAACTTTTTCTTTACCTTAGTTGATTTATCCTCTATGAATAGAGAAAAAGAATATAATTACAAGTGGATAGGAAAATATCTCCTCTAATAATTGGTGGGAATCATATTAAAACAAAAAGCAGAACAAATTAAACTCCCCGCCGTATGTAAATTATAATTATATCGATCTTTAAATTCTTTTTTATAAAAAAAAAAATTTTTTTTTTTTACTTAATTAGTAATGTTTCTTTATGAATAACGAGAAAGGGTTTAATAGTTCAATGGTTGGAGGGTAGCCTTTCTTTACAATGTATTATATCTAAAAATTCTTTACAAAAGAAATTATTAACATTTTCTTTACTTTAGTTGATTTAGTTAGCAATTACCTTTTAAGCATAGAGAAGAGAAATATATTTACAAGTGCCAAGCTTCAAAGTTAACACCTCGCGAGCGCATTCGCTTTACCAAAAAAAAGAGGAAAAAGAAAGGAATCACAAAGGTTGTCCTAAAGGGCCGTACGAGTTGCATCCGAACTATTCGTTCAAATAAAGAAACTTTAAGAAATCGAGACGTTGATTGGTAATTTCTCCGACCCAAATTCTGGTAATTTTATTATATTTAATAATTTTTAATAATATAGGCAACCACCATTATTCAAGAATTGCGTATTCTGCAAATTAACAGGTCATTGAATAAGATTGGGTAAGTTCATGTCCCGAAATTCCAGATGTAGGAATCATATGTGGATGGATCCCGGCGTAATGTACCGTAACCGATGGATCCACAGTGTAAGTTATAATTATATCGATCTTTTAAATTTTTTTTTAGAAATACTTTACTTTAGCTTATTTAGTTAGTAATGTACTTTTTGTAAATGAGAAAAAGAATATTATTTATGAATAAATTGAGAAAATAACCCTCCTTTAATAAATAAAGGAAACCGATTTTCCTTCACATTAAACGAAGGTTCAATCATTTTATTTCAAATATATATATACATATTATATTTTAAATAATTCATAAGTTAACCTTTCAGAGTTTCAGGATTTCTTGAAATTTTATCATCAAGATAAATTCAATTCTAAGATCGCAGATAATTAATAATTACAATCGGTAGAAAAGACTAAATACTGTAACCTTCATGAAATGATTAAAGTTGAAGGACGGAAAACTATCGTATTACATTGAAGATAATGACTTCCGTTATGACATTTATTTGGAATGGATCATAACTCATAATGAATGATGTTTTTTTGTTTTTTTTTTCATCTATATGCTGATTAACTCAAAATCTATTAAAGAGTTGAAATTCGTGACTCTATGGAAAAAAAAATTCGATGAATCGATTTGAGAATGAAATTATTACAATACAGTAATTAAAAGGGCACATTTGCGTAATTATTGTATGTTGGTGTATTGCTCTCTTATTTCTCTGTTATTACTTCGCTAGCATATTATTGCTTCTTCGATTTATCCTTGTCAGTAACTATGAATTTAGATTTCCAATGCCACAATTCATCATTATTTTCAGAATTAAAAATAAAACTAAAATTTTTAAAAGTTGATGTAAGTAAATAAAACTTCGTATGATTGGTATTACATTATAAAAAGCACCGGTCTTTGAATCAATTGAAACTTTTAACATAATATCAAGCAAATCAGAGGAATAATTCTAAACCTCACAGTACGTGTAAATGATCTTATCTGTATCGCCGAAGTAAATAGCTTCATTTTTTTTGATTAGCCGTTATTTTATTCTTCCATCGAATACTTGACTTACATTAACGATTTTATGATATTATACAAATGGGCGGATTCATTGGTCGAAATAACGGAACGAGAAATTCCGTAGATGCTAGGATGTTTTTAAGAGGTTGTACAGTATAAAAAATTTTAACAACATAAATAGCCTTAAAATATTTTTCTATGATAAACCAATCGGAAAGTGATATGTATTTGTATGGATATTGCTTTAACAAAAGAATGCGGTAATGAACACGTATTCATTAAAAAAAAACATATTATTACGATATGAAAATAACTCGTGGAACCATCTATCAATTTTATCATGATTTATAAAAAGTTCAACAATAGAGAAATGATTTTTGAGATTGACAACATCTTTAGTTTTTATTATGAATAAGATCAATGTAAATTATTCTAAATATTATACCTTCTTTTAATATTTTATTTTCGATAATCAATCATATCTGTGTTGTAAACATAAAAGCAAGATAAGTTCGTTAAACAGGAAAAAAATCGACTTATCAAACTTATCAATAAAACCTATGAATTCGCGTGAAGAATAAAGTAAAATTTGATTGTAATTTATTCAATGTATCCGTTTGATGGAGCGGAGAATTTACTCCATACTTTATCTTTGACGCCTCAATGCATTACTCACACAATTTACTCATCCCATTCATAACCCACTTTGATTAAATATATATATATAATAATAAAGAAATCATCTGGCGCAATAAACGCAGCAACCGCAAAATGACGTAAAAGTGACATTGTGCTTTTGGTTAATTCTTTTTTCGATTTTACATCTTTTTAGGTCCCTTCCTTTCAAAGCGTCATCTAAAGTAACCACCAAAAGAAAGTTATATAAATAAAATTTCCCACACACAAATTTAAAAGCCCATGATCGCTCAAATGATCAAATGATCGTAAAAAAAAAACAAATAGTTTTGGAATAAGTGGAATAAGTATGATTGTGTAGATCATTATCTAATATATATATCAATTTTTGCTTAATATATTCATATTAATGACAAAAAAATTTATTCAGCTTTCAAAAAATTTCATGAATTTTAGAATCATTTATAAAAAGTCATTAAAAACTTTTAGTGAAACATCATGATTCGAAAAATAAGGCAATACCATACTGAGTGAGGTTATCAATGTCCACAGTAATCTTAAAAAACTCTATTTGGTATTATTAAAAAAATTCTATTTTAACTACATATAGGATCAACTTTTTTATTTTAGAATAAAAAAAAAAAACTTCTTTTTTTGTAAAACTCTTTTTATTACATTTTTAAACATTTTAAACATTATTTGTATTGCCGTAAAGTCCGTAATTCATATGACAAAATAAAAAAAAAAAAGAAAAAATCAATTACTTTTTTCATACACTGTATTATAATAAATAAATAAATATGAATATAAATATATATATATTTATTTATTTTTCGCCCCAAGTGTTGAGCTGATACAATCTAAATTGAACCACTCGGAATTGTTCCAAGAATATTCTTAATTAAAAATCTTCCAAAAACCGCCAAACGCCGAAAGCCGAAAACCTGACTCACAATAGACGTTCCCCTTAATTTGTTCATTAAATAATTAATATTGTTTGACTCCATGTGAGGATGATACATTTGGCGTAAAAAAATAAATGATTAATAATATAAAACTAAAATATTTTTGGTTCAAAGGTCAAACTCATGAAGGGACGGGATGCGCAGTCAGACAAATATTTGTAAAATTATTATTGGTTTTAACAGTTAGTAAACAATGATTTTTGTATAACATAACAATGATTTAATTATTAAATGAAAAAAAATAATAATTACAAAAAAATTTTTTTTTTTTTGTTTAACTAAATTTGAGATCGATAATCGACTATATTTAATCATTGTTTTCATGTGTGTAAAGTATGAATAAAGTATGTGTAATCAAGAAGTTTTCTAATCTAAAATTAATTTTCCATTTTAAGTTTAGTCATAGTTTATCAAACATCTAGGAATGTTACTTGTTAACGAAATATAGCATGGATTGTCATTAGCCGGACATTTGCCGCTGCCGCAATTATATAGCTGTTACATTTCTTTTCTCTGACGGTCTGTCTCTTTTGACTCACTTGTTTTTTTATATATCGAAAAAAAAAAAAATTTTTTTTTTTATTTTGATCATTATAAGTTTTTTAAAAAAAAATTTTTTTTTGATTATTAATTATGGGGACCATATCACCAAATTTCCATAATTTAAACGCAAATTCTCATCCTCCACAAGATTTTAAAAGTTTTCATGATTTAAATGATAATTCTCATTCACAAAGTTATTTAGGTTTTCATGATTTAAATGAAAATCCTCTTCAACAAAATTATTCATCTGAAATGCAAACACCTCATCTACGACCAAGAAGTAATTCTGCACCTAGAGTAACTATGCCAAGTTCTACTTCATTTTCATCTTTAAGTAATACTTCAATACGACAATCACAACAAAGAGTAGAAGTAAAAAATTGTAAATGTGGTCTTGAACCTGTACTTCGAGAAGTTAAAGTAAATACACCAAATAAAGGAAGATGGTTTTGGTCGTGTAGTAAATTTGGTGGTCCCGATCATTCAGAGAAATGTAATTATTTCAAATGGGAAAATTCATTAAATCAAAATGCTGATGTGACTGGTGAATCATCATCTACTGCACGAGATACACAAGATACATATCGTAATGATGATGTTGTCGTTAATGATGATAATAATAATAATATTATTGGAGATGAAGTTAATACCACACCAATTAATAATAATGATGTGATAGAAAATCCTAGTAGGAGTCATAATAGAGCTTCATCACAAGCTATATCAAGCACAAGTAATGGAACAACAACCAATAGATCATTAACTAATAGGACAACTGAAACCGGTCATGCATACACTCGTAGTCCGGCCGTGTTTGGTAATTGGGAAAACGTACCCAAATATTCTACTCCACAACTAATGGATATAATGCAAAATCATCTAGTACAACAAGGTAAAATAAAATTTTTAAAAAAATTGAATTATATATAAGTAATAAATTTTTTTAACATCTCCCTTTCTTTTTATTTAAAGATAGGAATTATAAAAAATGGCATATTAATACTCAATTAGCCAAAAAAGATTATGAAGAAGCGAAGAAGGAAGTTGAGAAATTGATGAGAGAACTTGAGGTCGTCGGTAAAGAAAATGAATTATTTAAACGTGAAAATGAAGTATTAAAAGCCGAAAAGAGATTAATGGAACGTGAAATTAGTATATTAAACGAAGAAAATCGAGATTTGAAGAGACGACGTTAAAAATATATCTGATATAGTATATTATATATAAATTTAAATAAGGGCATTATGTTTTATGGGTTATTTTGTATTTAAAATTAATGTATTTTATATATATGTAGTAAAATAAATAAAAATTACTAAGAGTTAACTTTTAATCATTTTCACATGATGACTATCACCATTTTTCTTACAGAACAATACAAGGTGTTCGAGATGACGTGATGTGACGTAATAAAAAAACGATTTGGTATGGTTATATTCTTTTCATGCTGACATCTTGTTATATTTAATAGAATGAATTCAATACTTTCATTAGTTTAATAGGTTTAATAAGCCGAAATAACATATTTGTGACGTTATTTACATCAGGTTGATTCTGACCTTTTGTCGTCCAAATACGAAACGAGCGGGAATAATATATGAAATTGCCAATAAAATATTTATGGCATAACGTCGAATATACATAAATTATTCAAGGACTTTGTAGCAGAGTTAATAGCTCTTTTTGTTCTCTCCGTAAGTAAATAGCTTGGCTGGGCCATGAAATCCGTTTCCTCGCTAACTAATAAATCATATCTTTTTCTTATGAATTTACCAGTTTACCATAGGGACGACCAAAGAAACTTTTCCTAAATTAAATTTAAACAACTAATTTCTCTTTTCATTCGATTAAATTATATAAAAATAAGATTTACTTATTTATATATGCAACGTCCCCATTGTTTGCTACAACGAATCAGATTATTATGTGGATCCATTCTTCACCTCCAATATAAGACAAAATATTCTTTTTGAAACAATTACATTGAAGTTATCTCTTTACCATCGATGGTTATCTACAATCACGCAAGTAAACCATTATTCGACCGATTTAAAGTCATTCTTGAATAAAACAAGGTTTCAGGCGAAAAAAAAAATATAATTTAAAAACTTTTATAGCTTTTTTAGTTACTCCTTATCCATTATTAACTATTGGTTTATGATTGTTTAATAATGATTCACTGAAAAAAATATATAGTACATAATATATGTTTAATAATAATTTCCTAAAAAATATTCGTATTTGTTGAAATATATTCATATTATTAAAATATAGCAACTGCAATCCATGAGAGAAATGATTAATTCAAAAAAAAACAAAACAAATAATATTGTTTTTTAAATTATTATTTTCGACTATATACTGTACATAATATACCTTAAAAAAATTTTTTATTATTTAACAAATCGAAATATCGATGAAAATTTTTGTTTCATTCGTTTGCACATTTCTTTTTTTTCTCATGACCGTATTTTTTTTTAAAAGTGGGACCCAAATAGATCCGAAAGTCACTTTGCAGACAGACAAAGTAACTAATTATCGTAAGATTGGTTCAACTCTCCCATTTAAAGAAGTTCAACGCGAACAATAGAATCAAGAAATAAAAAAAGACTAGTTTATAATCATCGAAAGAAGTAAGTAACTAAGTATTTCTTTAATCCATTGTGGAATACTCATGATGCTTATTCTAATAAATTCTTGTTAAAAAGCAGTGATGTTAACGAACCAGCCAATCGATAAGTCCAATTTTAGTAAACTACTATGTAGTAATATAAGCATCAAAGAATTCAAAGATGCAATAGACGCGACCATACTTTAAGTAGAGAGTATAAAGAACTAAACACCATGATTCAGTTTATGTAAGTTCATTGATACATTATATACATTACAATACAGTATTTGAAGAGCTAATCTACAAATTACCAAGATAACAACAACCTTCGTTCTTGGCCGATGGATGCCACAGAGGCCCTGATAAGACATCGTCATTATTATCACGACAGATTTATTGAGACCCGCATTCAAAATCAGGGCACTCTGTGGCAGTACATCTCTAATCATATATATAATAATTATAACCTTAACGTTACGGCAACACAATGCCGAACCAAGTGGAATGCGCTGGTCGCAGGTTATGAAAATTTGAAGTGACTATTGTGTTTTTCCTATTGCGCAGAAAATTAAACATGAACCGCTTAAGCTATTGTTCTGATAAAATTCTTAACCACAACAATATCGATCGTCGCCACTACCTCAATAATCAGCTCTATCATCAATCACCATCTCAACTTAGTCAAAGAAGAAATAGGCATCCAGTCATATTAGTGCCATGGCTTTAGGTGACTTATAGTAGAGATTCAATTTTTCGAGAATATAATAAGTAAATCTTCTGGGACAGACCTGGTAATTATCAAAATTTCTATTTAAATTCTAAATTTATTTATATTTCTTAGGAAACCATCACAGTCACAGGCGACGTAGAAACACTGAGCATCGGCAGCCCGGCCTCTGAATCATTAATTTTTTTTTTTACGTCAAAATGGAATAAAGAAAAAAGCTTAGTGGAGCTGAAATTAGTTTTCAAATAAAGAATGTCAAGCAATTTATACTAGTTTTAGACCCATATGTAATTAAGAAGAAAATAGCGAATCAATTTGAACTTGTGCTACCTGAATATGTCACCTTATACAAGGGTATTATATAATTTCCAACAATGTTTTGTATACGAGTTTAATCTAGACGACCAATCCGTGCAAGCCTCAATCGGAGTCAGCCGAACTCAACAATGACGAGATATTAGAAGTGGTATGTAAAGTATAAAAAGTTAATCAAATTATAAATTTTTTATTGATTTTCTTAATTATTTTATAGCCTGACGCAACAACAACAGTAACCAGAATATTGCAGTGAAGTAGAGGTGTGATCCGCTCAGCCGGTCAGCCGGTCAAGTAATAAAGAGATAAAGTTAGAGAGTTTTCATAAAATAATCACCCATAGAAATCAACATGCGGGTGAACTAGTTGAAAGAATCGCTGAGAGTATGGGTTAGAATTATACGCAGGAATTAACGAAATTAATTAAAATCGGCCAGGCCTTACAGTTGAAGATTTATTTAATATTGACGTTTACAAGTAGATATAGCAGCTATTCAATTCATGGAATCAGATGTTAAAGAATCATTAAAAAAGTGGATCAAATTTTATACTTTAAAAATATTTACAATGTCTAAATCAAAAAAGAGAAAATTCAAATAATATTAAAATCAACTATTTAATAATACACCAAGTACAAATGATTAATATTTATTTAAAATAAAATTCTTAAACGCGAATTTGAATATTATCGCGAATTTTTCTATAATAAACGTTGCACAAAGCACCTGATATCAATAAATTTTACTATAATTTCAGGCTAATCGATATACAGTATATTTACTAAAAAGATTGTTTTTATTATAAAATTGATTTAATCAAGGCTGACCTTATATTGTTTTTATATTATTATGACAATTCATATTTTGTATTTGATTGGTGATTAAATTAATTCAAGAAAAAGTTAATTTATCGATTTATAGAAATTTTTGCGTAGAAAATTCTTTTCTATACGAAAATATTTTATTTTAATCGTTAGATTTGATTTCTGTAGTAGCAAATTGCGAAAAAACTTAAAACAATTACTAAACAATTATTGAACGAATTCATCCCTTAGGAATGAATAATAAAATAATCGTATCATTTGAATGCCTTTTGAGCAATTCAGTATTTTCCGTACAAGGTAAAACAAGTGAATAGCGCTGTACTATTATTTCCCCAATAAAATTCAATTCAAATATCAAATTTATTTATAATATACTACAAAACAGATCGTTCCGGACATTTGATCATGTGATAAATTTAATAATTTGTCTTTTATAATCTTTTATTAAAAATGAAACATTTGTAACGAAATGTCTTATGTTAAATAAATAGATAAATAAATATTTAACGATCATGATTAAAAATTTTTATAAAATACTCCTATTTTTTTTTTTTTTTTTTAACCTTTAATATAATTATTAAATTTTATTTTTTTGTTTCTTTTGACATTTTATAATTTTTTATTTACTTTTTTTTTTTTGAAATGTCCATTTCGGAAATATTTGAATTGCAGATTTTTTTGCGAGAAAAAAAAATGTAAATTTTATATATACGTATGATTTTTTTTTCATCTTTAAATTAATAATTGGTTTAATTGAAAGAATTCAACTTGGAAAATTGGTAAGTTATATGTTTAGTTCTTAAAACAAGTTTTTTGTAATAGATGCTTTTATTAATCGACAATGATAGTCAGTCGAAGTCACGTGATAGTGACAGTATCGATAACAGATTTCAATTGACCGCAGCAAAAAATATTAAAATTTAAAAATTTGTGCTAAATTATAGTTTATTTAAAAATATTCACGTGCTCAGATTTTTTGAATTTAATCTGCCAACGGTAAATTTATTATTTGGGTGTTAATTTTTCATATGATATCTAAAAAATAAAATATGAAAAGATTGCATCATTAATTATTTATAAATACCAATCAGTTTATAAACTTGCGTCTATATTATATATACAGTATTTAATAGGCTGATTTGTTATATTTGAATTCATTTTTTTTTATTTTTGCTTCGAAACATTAATTAATAATATTTTATTGGTGTTAACAGTGATACCGAAATAAAAACCAACTATTTTTCCAAACTAATTTATCCACAGTTTTCTTATTACTGTATTATATAAAAAATATAATTTTTGCTTTTTCTTAACATTCGATATGTTTTTAGTCTTAATAGCACTATAAATTGAGTTCATACAAACCACTGAAATTCAAATATTTTAATTAAATTATGATGGATGAATATTTTTATTTTTATTTTTATTTTTTTTTGGCTACAAAACCTTATTTGAAGAATTTTAATTTTTTATTATTTTTTGATAAAACTTATCAGTTATAGTGTATTCTTGAAAAAAAGTGTTAATTACATGATGTCAATGTAAGATCATACTTCGAATTTTGAGAACATGTGACTGAAATTGCATATCTCTGGCCCGTGGCCCGCATTAGATAACTCTGACAAGTGATCAGTGGCTGATTTGACACCGGCCGTTGGAATAATCAAATTATCACGCAGACTTGTTATCATCATTAGTCCGATTTAATTCTGATACGAACGTCCGGATGTCCGTCCGAAACGTGACAATGTACAACAATAAAACCACTTCGTACTTAATATAGTTTCACGCTTTTGCGTAAACTTAACCATTTGAAATTACTACGATTGATACTAATAACTATAATTTACATAACGATAATTAAATACATCACTTATCGATTAACATCGAATTTGTTTTCTGAAAAATCTGCTCCAGCCTGGCAATGCCACCCCACCTCTTCTTGCGCAGCGCAGATCTAACAAAAATTACTTCTCTGAAACAGATAAAATTGGAGTTCATCAACTATGACAAAATTATAAGTCATTCATGCAAATTATAATTTTTTAATTATATTGATTAATGATTAAATTGAAAATTTTATTGTCAGACAGAAATTTTGGCGTGGTAATTTATAGTTAAAAAATTCTTTTATAAAAATCCTTTATTTTAATTGCTGGATTAGTTGGCTGAGACAGGAAAAGTTAACGAATTGATTAAACCATACAATCATTGATAATCCTTATACTTTTAACTCCTTTATTGGGAATGAATTATTTTATGGCCTGGTTTTTGTAAATGAGTTGGTGTGATATGGGATTCAGGTAAATAATCAATGACTGTATCGTACGATATAAGTAATACAATAATAATTTTTTTTTTCTTGATTCTCACGGATGATGTTAATTTAAAAGGATGGATAAAAAGTCTATCAATATTAGAATAAAAAAAAAATCATTATTGACCAAAAAGGTATATTCTATTCATACTTTTTCTAAAATTTGATTTCTCTTTTTAGTCAGTAATAAATGTGCTGTATCCACATTCGATCTTTTCTCTTTGCTGGATCTTCACCATATTCTCATCATGCTTGTTTTCTAAATTTTTCACTAATTATTTCGCAATTTGTTCTTTTCTCTTATATCTTCTATTTTACTAGGAGTATCGACAACTTTTTTATATTATTTGTTATTTTTGTACTTGAATTGTGTTGATGATTCTTATTCTCTGACGACTTAATTTTTTTATTTTCAAATCTTAACTTTTTATTGGAGTTTTTGAGAAATTAATTTATTTCTTCTTTAGTCTTCCAAACCATGTCAGGCCTTCCTCTTTCACTGATAATTTAATCACCTTGTTCATTAAACATTTCGTTACTAAGATCGCCATTACAAACTTGACGTAACTAATTCCATATTGTCTTATTTACATTTATTGATATTTTTTGCTAATCTTTTTTAGTTGATATCTGTCCCTACTTTTCCTTCTTTCTAAGATACTGTACCATATGACCACGTGATTATCCCGTCAAGAATTTTCCAAAAACGATGATCTTGTATGGACCTGCGTCTCGTTATACAGTACGCGTGAAAAGGCACATAATTTATGCATTTTTTCTTTTTTTTTGATTTTTTTAAAAAAAAGAAATTTTTAAATTAAGTTTAGGATATTGTTACGGAGATTAGATTAGAAAAGCTGGTTAACCTCTTTTTGTGAGGTTTATTTCGGTTCTTACCGTTTGATACTTAATTCTAATTCTTTTCACGTGGTATATTTTCTTTAATTTTTTTTACATTTATTGTATATTCGTATTCTTTTATAAAAGTATTTTAAGAACGTTAAAAGGAAAACTAATATTTTCTAATAAAGATGTATTTACAAACTATTTAAAGGAGAGGGTGTACTGTATATGTATTATATGAAGCAGGAGGGTAAGAAGGAGGGTAAGAAGGGTGTATAAGAGGATTTGTAGAAGGATGTGTACAGTATTATGCAAAGAAGATATGAACCATTTAAAGAAGTATTTGTATATGTAGAAGGTGAATCATATAAGGTAAGAATTATATAAGTAAGGTGTGAAATTTGGATAGAAATAATCATAGGAATAGGAAATTGAAAAGTATTTGAAGTAAGGAAATTGATTAGTATGAGAAGTATTTGAAACAATATTAAATTTCATTTCTTTTTATTATATCAAATAAAAAATGAATAATTTTTAACAAAAAAAAAAAAGGTGCAAGAAAATTAATAGTATACATTTATACATCAACGTTTGGCTTTACGAATTTGATTAGTTTTCCTTTTTTGAATAGATGGTGTAACTTTTCCTAAGAATTCTTCTAGGTTTCGTTGGTGCGCCTGTTAAGGGTTTTATGTCTTTTTGATTTAATTCTAGTGAGGAAAAGGAACAGCTTGAACTTACATTCTTGATCGAATGTATTAAAAAAATATGGAGCTTTCTAATAACGAAAAAATATTAATGTTTAATAATATATCATTAAAATTTAAAAAGAACATTATATTATATTCTCCTTTTACATTTTATCATTTAACTATTTTTCTCGTCATTATGAATGGAACAAGATACTGATTAGGTTATCATATATGGAATAAAGATATGTTCTCAAACGAACAAGCATTACTTATACGAAAAGAAGCATGTTAAAAATAAATATACAGTCGCCACTGGATATAACGAACAGAAGGTTTGGTTCAATATAGAGTGAATTCGGTATATAATATACAGAACTTAGTTTTTCAGCTTGGCAATTCGGGCCAAATATTAATGCCGGCCAGAATTATAATTTTGTGTGACAAAACGCCGGCCAGCACTATAAATCTGGCCGAATTAACTATTTGGTCACGTGACCGTTCTTTATAGAAAATATATGATTAATATAACTGGGCTGTTCGCCTGTTCCACATACAGTATATAGCATTTTATTATAAAGATTTGTTATAACCAGTGTAATTAACTATAAAAAAATCGGTTCTGGAAATCTTGGTTCAGTAAGTATAACGAGTTTTCGGTATATACAGGTTCGGTGACTCTATATTGTCTGTATTAGAATGTATTAGAATGTGTAAATTATATTAATTAATTTATTATCTTCATGATATTCGCATTTCCAAACTTAATTCGAAATTCGTTTTCTTCGTACAACTCAAATCTTGTAGGAGCTAGAGTTATTAAATATGTAGGCATCTACAAGTTAGGAGATCATACGGGAGTCTGTTGGAATAAGCTTTTTTTAAAAACAATTAATCTCTTTTGTGTGAAAGGTTTTGTAGTTATAAGTTTATGTTTAATTATATAAGGCAACGCATTTGTTTGATAATAAAACTTATACTATTAAAAAAATCAGCATCAGAAATATGTTAGCGAATATATTAACATGTTAAGTTTTATATTTCCAAGGAATCCCAAGCTCTTGCTAATCTTGAACATCCAAACGTTATAAAACATTTTACTTCCTAGATACAGAATCTTGAAAGTGACTGAACGGATCTTACTCCTTCAGAATTAACGCTTTTTATTCAAATGGAACTACTCTAAATCATTTTTTAGTAGAACGATCAATTTCCATTTTAACGCCAAAATATTTCATAGAATGTCAATAATTTCAAGCTGTCTATGTTTCATAATGATTGAATATACGTGTTTTGATTAAAAACATTATTATAGGTAAAACTGATGAGGCATTTTATTGAATATATCCATAACAAGAATTTAGTTCATCATGATTTAAAGACGGATAATATTTTTTTTTTACAAAAAAATAATAGCGAATTTTGTGACAAAATGGTTTGGTAAAATCTGGGAAGCCAATTCTTGTAATCTACATTCTCTTATACGTGATAAACGCTTTTACCAAGGAATCTGATATTTTTTATATTAAAAGACTTGTATTTCCATGGAAAAGATTTAGATACACTAGATTACTCTAGATATACTGATATACCAGGCGACTGTACTGATACGATTAGTAAAGAAATAGACAATAAATTGCTTTTATTTTTTATAATTTTTAAAATAAACTCTTATTTAGACAGAATTAATTGAACAAATGACAATTGAAAGTCCTCAAGCGTCCTTAAAATCCGAGATGTTTAATATGTCAACTTCGGAACTCAGACGACTCGCTGGAAAAGAAAGTTAAATACAAGAAAATGCATGCTTAAAACAAGAAGCGCCACTTTAAAAAACACGCTGGAAAAAAAAAATTAGACCATCGGCAGAAAATAAATCAATGCCTTAAAATAAGGAATAACACAAGTACAAAAAGTTAAATCGTTATTTTTTTTTACGAAAAACATTTAACGGATAAAGGATTAAGGTCACCATTTTATAGAAAAATAAAATTGTAATGAGATAATAAAGATAGATATCACGCTTTCAAGGAAATAGCTTCTTCCTTTTCTTTGTACTCATGATATATCAGTTAAGGTATAAACTGAATCCGAAATTCCTGAAAGGAATCGTTCTCTTTCAGAGAAAACCCACCATCCGAACTTTTTAATTTGATAAAAAAAATTGAAAAAAGTCTGAATTTTACATTCGGCCCGTTTATCATATGATACTAAGCATAAACGTAACTATTGGCCAATTTTTATATGAATGTATTTGTATCACCTTACAAGAAATTATCATGTAGTGGAATCACGTGATAATAAATTATTTGTCAACCCTGCACTATTAAGTATTTTTAACACTTTCTGTAAATCGGCGTCGATTTTATCAATCTTCTCAACATTATCTGGTATATCAAGTTTTTCAAATAAATTCTTCCTCATTTCCGGAAATGAATCTGTCCATTCACCATTTTTAATCAATCTTTTAATTTCTTCACGAGCCTTATCGACATTAGCATAATAATATCTTAATAAAACAAATTATTTGGAGTATTAGCATTTAGCAAAAAGGTTTTTTTTTTTATATATAAAAGAAAAATATACACACATTACTTCGGGAAACCATGAATTCCAACGTCTCTGATTTGGCAATAGGTAAAATAACTCGATTTCTGCTAAAATCTATAAGGAAAAGAGAAATTTAAAACACTTTTATAAAAAATGGAATGATAGTTATATTAGATTAATAAATACCTCAGCCTTCTGCTTTAAATATGAGACCCTATCATCATCTTTATTAATTGCCATATTGAGTAATCCGATAAACAAATTCATAAGATATACAACAACCAAGAGTGAAAACAAGACAATTAATATTACAAGTGATTGATTATTTAAAAATGGCCAATTGGATAATGCACTTGAATCACCTAATATATTTGATTAAAAAAGTTAACTAAATGTATTTAAAATTGAAAATTCAAATATTGTAACTTACCTGTTAGGAAATTATACATTGCTAAAAGTGAAGTTCTAAAATCTATAAACATATTTGTATTTTCATCCGGTTTTTGAATAAAAAATGAATTCATAGTCCCATCATTAAATACTTGATTAAAAGTGAGAGCTATATTCCAAGGATTATTAGGATCATTATTGCTTGTATATTGATCAAATGAATAATCAGATCTTGGTAATAATAAAATATAAAATGCGTGTGCAAAACTTATTATAATAATAAATAAGAGTACTAAAAAATAAATGATCTGTTTTGCAACATTAATAATTATTTCAAAATATATACCAAAAGATTCAAATGCTCTAAAAAATAACAAAAATTTTATATCTAAAAATAGACATGAAAAAGAAAGTAATTGAATTATATGATGATCGTTCATATCATTTGTTTGAAGCCATTTAAAAGAAGTGATTATTGGAAGTAAGTATGAAATTAAATCTATATTAAATAATATGATAAATAATATTAATATTTAGCAGTTATTTATTTATTTAAACAAAAATTTTACATACGAACATACCAAATATATTCCAAAAATCACGAATCCATTTTTTAGGTGAATAAATAAATTGACGAATTTCAAAACTCAAATGAATAAATCCAAATATTATTGAAACAATAAAAAGTTGATTTTGAATATTTTTGTCAATATATTGTTGAGGAACTGTTGCCGCAATAGTAAAACAACTAAGTAAAACCATAAATGAAATCCAAATTACTGCATAGTAATATTTTCCATAGGTATTCCATTTAAAATTAATTAATGCCTCTCCATTCCATGTTTTATAAATATTTTCATTTACTGTTTTAACAAAAGGACTTGGTTGAGGTTTAATTAATTCCCACCAATTATAATCTTTTGGATAATTAACAAATTTAATGTAAGGAATCATAAAATTAATTGTTGATGTAATTGTTGATGTATGTATATATTTTGAAACCTTTTTAGTAACATAAAAATATAATTTAACGTATAGGCCAGGTAATGTATTACTAATTTTAATATAATTAATAAAATGATACTTTAATAATAAATAAATTATAAAAAACAAAATGGGTAAAATAGGAAGAGTTAAAAAAATAATAAAACAAAATAAATAAACCCAAAATATATCATTATACAATTCCGTTTTCAAATTGTATTTTGACCATAAAATAGATCGAGTTAAATCAATTAATTGAAGATTTTTTGAATAAAGATGTAAGTTATTTTCTATATTATAAAACTGAGAATCTGTAATCATATTTGTCTCTAATGAATATTTTAAAATAAACTCCGGATAATACTCATTCAATAATGGCATTGTAATACTAATAATACCTAAAAAAGTCTTATTATTTTGTAAATCTTCATTAAAATAAAATATACATTTCTTATAAATTTCATCTATTAATTTGAAATTACGTTCTCTGATTGCAAATGAGAATAATTCAACTCCATATTTCAAAAGACTTTCCTTATTATTTAAAATCCATTCATTGCACTGTTTAAAATTTTTATCATTTTGTAAAGGTAAAGGAGATATTGAAAATTCTTTATCTTCAGAATGAAAATAGTTTAAAGAAGTTTTATTATTGTTTTCATTAAAATGAAAAATGAAAACACGTACTAAATCTTGATTAAGATTTTCATAATCATTTAATACAAGTAAAATATCATTGTTTTTGAATATCATATATCTCATTGCTAAATAACGGTTAAACCGTTTAATTCTTCTCGATTCATTATTTTTTAAAAACTTAATTTCGATTTCTTCGGTGGAACGATTTATTTCCCATTTGTCATTATTAAAAGAATACGTCTTTTGAAGATTTTCATCATTTATATCATCAGCATATAGACTAAATGAATGAACATTTAAGCGTTCAAGCTTATCAACAAGAACTTTAAATTTAATATTCAGTATATCCCCATCTAGAATAAAACCATTTAGAGTCCCAATTATGTATTCGGTTGATTTGGTATCTTGAACTATTTTTGATAAACTTTCGGTTTTACAGTCTTCCTGATAATATGTCATAATTGAATCATAGATTCCATTATTTAAAAAAGGACGCAAAATATCCGATAAACTAATAAAACCAGAGGTCCGAACGTTGGTTTGTTCTTTAGTCTTCTCTTGAATTTCAACTGCCCCCGTCTGTAAAGTAATAATAGGAATTTCTAATTCAATCGAGTAAATAATAATTTTATCCTTGATTTTTAGACAAACAAACTTTTCATTGCTAGAAATTCTGATTAATCCTGGCTTTAAGTGCAAAATGAATAATTGTTAATTATAATTCATAATACAGTATATTTAAATAATTTAAATAATTTTACTTTACCTCATCGCAACTAAACATCTTTGCACTTTTTTCAGTAAGAAGATTCCATTCATAAATATGATTATTTGAAGATAATAAATAAAGTTTACTATATTTAGATACACTAATAAATTTAAATTCTTTAGGTATCTCGTACATTCTTTTACATGTCCATGTTTGTGTGGAGTAAATAAAAATAATATTCATGTATCTATAATTATCATTAAGAACTTTACCACACAAAATAAATTCCCTTTTTAAATTAAAGGTGCAATATTTATATGATACTTCAATTTCATCGTGATCCAAATCTAGTTTAATTTTGTTATTATTGTTCATATCGATTATTTCTATTAAAATTTACAAAACATTAGTTACTATAATAAATAAATAATTTAATAATTGTCATTTACCTAAATGATAACGGTTAATTCTTTTGTAAATATATGCAAGTTTCTTATCATCGGATACATATATTTTGTTTATATTGCGGTAAATGACTACTGGATTAGCAACAATAAAAGCTTTATAACGGTAATTGTCTGGATTAAGTTCGCCTTTATCGATACTCCAACCGAAAATTGATTTATCATCTGGACTATAGGTAACAAGGTACTTTTCTTCTGGTGATATTCCTATCTTAGAAATAGGTTTACCGTTATGTGGTGGCTTATAGTTGATATCATCTTTTTTGCTATCGACTTTTACGGATACGTTTTCATTCATTTCAGTTGTAATAGGTTTACTGTTATCATCTTTTTCGCTATCTGCACCACCGACTTTTACGGATACGTCTTCATTTATTTCAGTTGTAATATAATTGATATCATCTTTTTCTCTATCTGCACCACCGACTTCTACGAAATTGGCTTCATTCATTGCAGTTGATAATCAAAATATTAAGGATAAGTTTTTTTTAAAAAAAATTAAGTTGAAATATCCTGCTGTTCGTTAATGTTTATATATAAAAAAAATACGTTTATGATCAAGCAACGATCATCGTCAATAAGTCACATCATGCTACAAGATTTTAAATATGGTAATTTACAATAGTCATCTTTAATAATCTAAATATTTGCACCATTTTCATTGTATTATCTATATTTGAAAAAAATTAATCAAAATCATATTGAAATAGCAACTGGTCTGAATAATTGATTGTGACCGAATTTTGGTTACAACATTTTACTGAAAATCCCAAATCTCTAATTTGCAGTAACAGCTTTAGATTATATTAAAATATATATATATACATCTATTTATTTATTTATTCAAGATAACTAGATTATAGAGTTGTATGTATCTTAAATGATGTGTATTTGAAATTTTTAGTAAAACTTAATGGAATTGGAAATTCCATTAAAAAGAATTGGATTTGAAACTCGACAAAATTTATTTGATATTAAAACATAATCATTGAAAACTTCCAATAAAAGTTTTCAATACGAGAATGTCAATATCATAATACATTTTTTTTGATATCATAATAAATATTGTTGGTACAACATTGTTACATAATAATCGTTCTTTTTTCTACATATTAGTTTTAAGAATTCAATAAAATTGAACTTCTATTTTTATAGTGGTCAATAAAGTATTATTCCAGTGCCTAAATTTGGCCAAAATTAAAAATTCTAAGTTATAGGTAACATCGCATTTGTACAATGTAACATTTTTTTATGTCTCAGCCTATAGAAAGTTGCCTATTGCTTGTAGTATATAAAACAAGTGGTATTTTTTTTCCTATTCTGTAATCTGTGAGATGTTTTACAAAATACCTTTTATGAATTTTATTAAAAGGATTTTATATTATTTTTTTATGTTCCCATAAAGTTCTCGAGTCAAGATCTTGCAACGTATACTCTTTTTTAGTTGGATCTGCCTGGCCGAAATAGGAGGATAATACGGTGAAAAGTTATATCTTAGTTCTTAGAGTAGGTAATCGATTCGGATTGGGATTCCTGTTCCTATTCCTTTTCGATTACTATTTCCAATTGGATTTTAGATTAGTTCTCCATAGGAGGGCGTGCATTTAAATAAAAAAAAAATTTTTTTTTTTGTGTATCAATAAAATCCATTTTTATTTGTTTGTTATACGAGTAAAAAAGAATTTTTCCATCTTAGTTTTAATTTTTTTTACAATTTGTAAACAATTTAAACCCGTTGTAAATTGCAATCAACGGGTTTTTTCCTTGTAAATTATAAATTATATGGATCTGAAGTCTGAACCGTTTTGAGAAATAATTAAATTCCCCCTTTTTTCATACTCATTTTTTATTAAAATTAGAATAAAATAATTTTTTTTGTTTGTTTTTTTTTTGTTTATAAAGATGTAAGATTTGTCATGTATTTTTTTTTTAAGATGATGATTTGTTGATTTCATATACCTCTGTAAGGAAGTATGAGATATAGGGATTCTATAAAAAAAGTTACGAAAAATTGGGTGAGATTTCTTTTTCACTGTCATCTCCTTGTGATCATAGCGAAGCCACTTTTTTTTTCATGAGAAAAAATTTGTATCGCTCCGCATTCCTCCTTTATTTTTTCTCTCAAAATAAATAAATCATAATATTTAGAATTTGGGAAGATTGAAAAAAAAAAATAAAGTTATAAAAACTCATAACATTAGATTATTCGTTTTTTATTGCATTCCACTAAACGATACGAAATTTATATGGAACATGGCAAATAGACCAAGATGCAGTTCAACGAGTCAATAATGATTATTTAAGGATTTGTGATTCACGTTTTTCATATGATCAAAATCAACAAAAACAAAAAAAAAATGTAACGAAAAATTTACGGTTATGGACGCAATAGTTCAACATCGAAGATGTATTAGGATGTAAAAAATATATAACTTAGGAGAAGGATTCAGTAACTATTCCTGGTTGATTAATAGATTATTTGCAATGGGTTGGTGTATTTTAATGCATTGAGAGAATCTTGTTATATCAGAACGATCATTAACATTAAAAAAAACCAAGATGCATTTTGTTGTACAGTACCAGTTATGAACGATCAGGCGGACATATATTCTTCACGAACGTATAGGCTGAGGTAAAAAATCAAATTACATTTAAGACAAATTACACGAGCAAGTTGTCACAAAAGGAATCAAATTTATTGCTAATTGGGCTTATTCAGATATCTCATACAAACGAAAATTCAAAAAAAAAAGGAAAATTTTTAAATTTATTGTTGAAGCTGTTCTCCCTTTTCTTCCTACATCAACTAATTCACAAACTAAAAAACCTCCAACTAAAATTACGCCATCTACTGTGAATCAGATGAAACCCTTAATCTTTTCATAATACAAACTCTTTTCCTTGATACATTCCTCAAAAATAATATTCAAAATGACGATACAGAACAATCGACTGTGAAAAGTTTGGGTCAAAATTTTGGAATTAAACTCTTGGAAATCACGCGAGGCAGTAAATATGAAAAAGATTTATTAACGTTAAACTCACCAGGATCACTTTGCGAATATTACCACACATTTTCAGATTTCATTACAAAGTTTTTTCGTGGAATGTTGTCAGAAATCTTTAAAACGAAAACTTACTGTTAATAATAGAAAAAGAAAGCATCA